CGATAGTTTTTTAATTTTTTAAATTAATCGATATTTTAATATAAATTTAATTAATTAGGGGGGGTCGGAAATCGCAATAAAAGTTTGAATATTTTAAAAATATTTAAAAATTTCCTTGTCGCTTATATTCACCCTACTTTAAACCCTTGTCCTCCCGAGACGTCTATGAGAATGTCCCGGGAAATCCAACTCCAGCTGTGTTCAAGGTCACCCAGCTCTGTAAACAATGACTCATCGGTGTTAAATTTCACAGAAAGGCGAAACAAAGGAAAATAAAATTTGAAGGTTTTTCTTCAAAATTAACGCATTTCTTTCGTTTTTTTTCAGTTTTAAGTATTTTTAATGTATTTTAATATTAATCTTATATCAATTTAATTAATGATCGGGAATGAAGGGGTTAATTAAACGGTTTGGATGTCTTAGTATCAAAGTTGTTGCCGTTCACCATTTGACTCATGGGCAAGTATTGTTCCAGAATTATCCATTTACTGTCCCAAACTTTGTCAGTGTAACTTTTTCTGCAGATAATTGTGTTGTGTCTTGAAGACCCCAGACAAAGTGGTGCACTCAGTTTTCTTTAATAGTCACTACCTTATCCAGAAATTTATCACCTTTACATTCTTATTGAATCAGAAGCTGCTGATAAGCAAGAACACAATTTCCTTTTATCTCTGGTATCAGATAATGAGGCATCCATTTCACATTAACTTTGTGGTAGCCAGCTCATTTGGAATGAATTTCTATGCTGATCCATGACTTGTGAAGTTCCAAAGCCATCTTGTCTACAGCTGCACATCAATTCTCATATATTAGATCAACAATGGCTTAAGCAGTATCAGGATTCACGACAACATTCAATTATCTTTGTGAACAGGAAAGCAGTGCCCTTCAGGTCAGATCTCACACCACCTGTGATTTTCAAGCTCACAGGAACCTTTGAACCGTGCAAGCAACCACATATGTGGGACTTTTACGGAGTAAGGGATGGAGGAGGAAAATTTTAGAGAGGCAGGGAAGCCCAGAAGTAATGCACTCCACTACACTAAACCATTACTTTAATGAAAATAAATACAATTCACATTGTAACATAAAAGAATTTAATAGACTATCTATCGTGCATATATTAGTGGTATGATTGCACTGCACACCTACTAGTATATATATTACATGTACTTACATTTTATATATAGAGAAGAAGGTGGTATTATGGAACCCCAATTACATTTTAGTGAATTTTAGACAAGGTATCATAACTACACCCACATTTTTTTGTATCTTAGAAGTATGTTGAGAGATAATAAGAATAACAGTAACACACCCCACCATCAAAAGTCCATAGCATAATCACTAATCACACATAATGATATCCCCATTACCATTGATCAACTGCACAACATTTATTGATCTGTTGCATTGTACAATTGGCGGCATAAGTTTTTATTTCTATTTTTGCATTTTGAAATGTATAATAAAGTTTGTGATTGTTGCAAGGAACATTTTTTACTTAATAATTTTTTAATACTATTAATTTGTGATACATAATA